GTCTTTTATATATATATATATATATATATATATATATATATATATGATTCATTCTCTAATATATCTGCGTTTGTGCGTATTTCTCTCTCCGTGTGTATGCGTGCGTCTTTCTGATGCTGCGGAGGTGCGACCCGCCGCAATGATCCAGAAGGAATACTTGAGCTCTTGTTTCCGCATCGCTGCTTTACCTACAGGTGCTGCAAGGAATGCACGTATGACTGGGGAGAGAGAGACAGAGACAGAGACAGAGAAAGACAGAGAGAGAACATCTAAACGGACGAAAGGGAAAAAAGTCACCTTGCGAAGAATAAGCGGCGAGTGTCGCGTCATTCTTTCTTGCCTTCATTTCTTTATTTTGGGCGCCTGGAAGAGAGAAGAGGACGAAGGGAACACACCCGGCAACAGAGAGGCCAAACGGGTGGGGGAACAAAAAGAAGAAGAAAAACAACAACAGAAAAAATGACGACAGCAGCAACACTCTTCCAGCGCAACAAGCGCATCTACGTGCAAGAGGAGGACAAGCTCGAGGGCATCGTTTCCGATGAGACGTTCCAGCAAAAATTCCAGCAGTGGCTGGACGCGACAATTGCGCAGCTCGACCTCCAGTTTGAGCTGTGCGAGCAGCAGCTGGCGGAGCTGCAGCAGAGCGTTGCGGTGGAGTCCGGCAGCTACTGGTGCAGCAAGACCATCATCGCGCACTGCAACCTGCACATGAGCGAGAAGCGGCTCATCGTGGCGGGGGCGGAGGTGCAGCAGCACGCAACCCTGCCAGACGTCGTCAGCCTCGTGTCCTGCCTGCAGCAGCTCAAGATGCAGGCCTTCATCACACCCAAGCAGAGACGCTTCATTGAGCAGTGCGAGTTGGAGATGAAGAACGTCGTGTTCGGGTCCCGCGAGCTGCTCTTCATCACGAACGCGCTGCAGACAAAGCTGCGCGATGACGGAAACACACGTGGCGTCTTCGGCGACCTCACGGCCTTCCAAAACGCCATTGAGGACATCTCGCCAGACATTGACCAGTGCGAGCAGCTGCTGGAGGCGAGCATCGCGAATGGCGAGATGGGCCTCGCGGAGGACATCTCGCGCCGCCAGCTGGAGATCTACGAGCGCATCCTCACCCTCATCACGGACCAGTACCCGATCATCACGAACTACTACTCCGAGTCGCGTAACAGCGACCGACGGCGCCGATGGGCTATCTTCCGCATGGCCGACAAGGACATCACCGCCGTCATTGAGGGGAAGTACCGCCAGATCGAGGCATGTGAGGAGGACCTCATGAAGATCAAGGAGCAGATCCAGAACTACAACAACGATGACTCGCACCAGCGGAAACGGTATGAGGCGGACCGCAACCTTTCCGATGATTTCCTCCTTAAGAACAAGGAGAAGCAGCAGAGTGTGTGGAACCGCGTCTTCGAGCTCTACGAGGAGCTTCGGCGGTGCCAGACAGAACTGTCAACACTTGGACGCCAGCGCCGCAAAGAGATTGACCGCCGGCTGCAAATGGAAGAGCACGAGGCGGGAAGGCGTAGTGGCCACGAGGCATTTATAAAGGCGGCAGCCGATCACGCTCAGAAGCTGCAGAGTATGATTAACAACGCGCTGGCGGCGAAGGACATCGCAGCTGCACTGAATAACTTCGTCTTGGATGGCTGCGACAGCATCACGAGCAAGTACGACAAGCAGCAAAACGCCCTCAGCGAGATGCTGCGGCTTGTGCAGCAGCACCACTTCAAACGCTTCTCCGATTACTACATCGTTGCGAGTCGCTACCTCTACCGCAAGGAGCGGCGGTTGGAGCAAATTGAAAAGGAGATAGAGAGCAATGAGATGAAGAAGGAGATTCACGCTGACCGACTTGACACCAACGCCAAACGCTACGCCGAGGCGAATAACGATCTTCTGCTCAAGCGGCGTGAGGTTTCACAGGAGGTGCTGTACGTCCGCCACAAGCTGGAGAAGGCGGAGAAGGCGATTGAACCCACGCTGCGCTCGCTGCAGTTCGCTGGCGTTGAGTACGTTCACCCGCGCGACATCGTGGAAAAGGTTAACCTGAACCGCTGCAGCACTATCCTCGACTACCGCGAGTTGATGACACCGTCCGTCTCATACCACGAGAAGGTGCAAATGGAGGAGTTGATGACGTTAGCGCGGCTCCGCTCCACACTCGATACGGAGAGCGGAGAACGAGAGAGCCAGCAACGCCTTCGGCTCCCCGCCCTTGCGGCGAAGCACCAGACCCCGCTGCAGAAAAGCGTCAGCGCATTGCTCTCGAAGCGGTCCGGTGAGGTGGTGGGATCTGCCGCGTCAGTTACGTCGACGGTGGCGCAGGATGCCGGTGCTTCGACCGCAGCGGCGAAGGGTGTCAAGCAGAGCAACAGTAGAGTGTCGCTGGCGGCATTCTCCCCCTCTGCAACAAGAGATCCGCCGCCGCCGTCATCATCGTCGGCGCCGCCCCTTACTGCGTCGTCAACAGCGGCAGCAGCTGCAGCAGGAGGTGATACGGCTGGCGGAACTTTTTCGGTCAACATCGCGCTGCACCACCCGCGGATGGAGGGCACAACAATGCGAGCGCTCTACGCGTACAAAGCCCGTGCCCCCGACGAGCTCACATTCGAGGAAGATGACTTGATTGTGTGCGTCAGCCGCGCACAGGAGGAGGGCTGGTTCAAGGGCGTCTGCAACCAGCGCACTGGTCTCTTCCCGATCAACTACGTTGTGCCACACGAGGACTGCTAGTGGTGGTGAGTGAGATTGTTTAAAGATGTGCGCGTGAGTCTGTTTGCGTGCTTCTGTGTGTGTGTGTCCTTGTGCCCGCGCGAGAGGGTGTTGTTGGTGGTTGGTGTTTGTGGCGGCGCCCACGAGAATAACGAGGAGGAACAAGCAGATCAAGTGGAAAGTGTGAGACACCGTGTGTCCAGCAACATCAAGAACAAAAGACGAAGCAATGCCGCAGCAGTAGCGACACAAACGAAAAGACCAAAAAGAAAAAAAGAAGAAACGGGGATGGTGTGGAGGGAAGCCGTGTCCTTGGCTTCAGCGCAGCGATAGCTCTCTGCCTTAGATGTAGTATCGTGCATGGCACGAGGAGGGTCATACAATGTGACATATTTGTCCACTCTTTTTGTGGGTGCTTTGCGGCTCCATGTTTAGGTGGTGGCTGCCTTTGGAACTTGGAAGAGGGCCGGCCAATCTGTGTGCTTCATGTGTGCCATTTTCTTCCGTTTCGTCCTTCCCGTCCCTCTTTTTGTTGTTTATTTCGGCGCCGCGTGCGGGAAGCGGCACGCGTTTCTGTTTGCGCTTTTTTTTTTTTTTTT